TCTGCTAGAAGAACGCACAAATGTATCCAGGTCATAAAAAAAACGGAACAGGATGTAGCCAACCACCGTGGAATCCTCGCTGTGCACTATCTCAAAACTCTTCAAATTAGGTTTTATAGAGCCACTGTTACAGCACTGTAAGCAGAGAGTCGAGTTTCGAACGCCTTTGGAAACGGTTGTGTGTTAAGTTCGTTCTCTGTTTTGTGCGTGCATTCGCTTTCATAGTTTTCGGCTGCATTTGCCGGATTAGCGCTGGCACTCTGCCTCCCGGACGGTGATACGTGTGTGAGTGGTGGTTTTCTCGCTTTCCGAGAAGTTTTAGAATCGAGAAAGAAAACATGATTCATCATGTTTGCAAAATTACAATCATCAGAAGATTTGGCGCTGCGTGGTTTGATTGTTTCTCCCGGACCAGAAATTTGTGGCATCGCGAGTGAAAATTTTTATTTCTGTTAATTTACGCGGTGATGAGAACGGCGCTGATCTATTGTTAGGGTTTTGCGATGTGCATTGCTTTTGTGCACGGAGTGACTTGAAAAAGAAAAGTGATATTTCCGGAGTAATTTGGGATTTGGGCGTAATTGTGTTTATAAGCAGGCACGTCAGTCGCCGATTTATCGCGAATAAGGGCTCAAATTGGAAAACTAATAAAACTATGAGTATGAATCCTTTATCATTTAGTATAGTTTGTTTATAATATTGAGCTTTTATTCGCGAGAAATCGGCGATTGACTTGTTTGTTTACAGATGCAATTACGCTCAAATCTCAAATCACTCCGGATTTGGTTGTTGTGTGGTTGGAGTGGAGGGAAAAAAAAATATGTGTGGAAGCATAGGGAATGCGCTCCCGGGTGAAGTGATTTGGTGAGTACGTTCCAGTTGAAGATTGTTGACAAGTGTATTTGTGGTGATGCAAATTATGGTTTAGATGACGCATGGCTTCAAACATTTTGTGTATCCAAATAAAACATATTACATACTAAATACGCACAGGGCATCGTCTGCTGACCATTGCCGCGGGTATATCGTGGGAGTCCCAGGTACCCGGTTCAAGCTTTAGTTGGCGGCGGTGGCTCTTCTTGACCTTCTACCCCCTGAGTAGTTAGTGTGAATAAGGGCGTCTATGTGATGTTTTGCTGTACCTGTTGTGGACATTTAGTGCATCCTGTTCCCTTAACTTGTTGAGGACACCCTGTCTTGCCTCAAAAGTTACCCTTTTTGAAGTACTAGTCTTCACAACATAAAGGACACCATTACGGAGCATGAGATTTGATCAAATTATTCGCAGTTCTACTTGTCCAACGCCCCCGGCTGGGTGAGGGATAGAGGATGACACACACTCACACACTGTTACAGCACTGTAAGCAGTATATCCATGAAGACCAACACGGATACGTTTCCAACGGATCAACGACTACTAATTTGCTATGCTTCACTTCGTCGTTACGAGAAGCCTAGTTGAGTGACATCAGACCGATGCCATCTACACCGAACTAACAGCAGCATTTGACAAGACCAATCACGCTATCACCATCACTAAATTGGAACGGCTAGGGATTAATGGGTGTCTACTATCTTGGATCCAGTCGTATCTTAGCAAACGCCAACTCAGTGTGTCTATTGAGGATTGCAATTCGATCGCTTTCCCAGCAACTTCAGGTATTCCTCAAGGAAGTCACCTCGGGCCAATAATTTTCTTAATTTATTTCAACGATGTGAACTTTGTACTAGAGACACCTCGTTTGTCATTCGCTGATGATCTTAAGATTTTTTCTCAAGATTCAAACGCATGCTGACGCTATGTTTCTATAAAATCAGATTGATTGATTCAGTGGCTGGTGTGACTTGAACCGCCTAAAACCCTAATAAGTGCTCGATAATCACTTTCCCTCGCAAAAAAGAGCAATTCAAGATTAATTACACACTTCTGGATATTTCAATTGAACGAATAAGTCACGTGAAGGACCTGCATATTATCTTAGACTCACAAATGACGTTCAAACAGCACATTTCATTTATGGTAGACAAAGCCTCCAGATCTTAGGGGTTTATCTTTAGCATAGCTAACAATTTCACTGACCTGTACTGTCTTTAATCGTTAAACTGTTCCCTAGTACGATCTACATTAAAATATGGTGCACATGTTTGGAACCCTTTTTATCATCATGGAGTTGAGCGAATCGAGTCAGTTCAACGCAGATTCATTCGCTACACACTTCGGCGATTATCGTGACGTGATCCTTTTGGGATGTGAAACGACAGGTGAAAGCTGGGGATCCCCCGAATACAGTACGTCCCATCGTGCAGGAGTTACTGGCAAACCGGTTTTACCATGCTTTGGCCATTTATACGAATGGCTCTAAGTGCGAGAACATAGTTGGAGCAGGTGTATTTGGCAACAGCATTCAGGAAGCAATAGATCTTCCGTCACAGTGTAGCGTGTTTTCGGCGAAGGCCTTTGCAATCAAGTCGGCCGTAATCGCAGCGAGAGCATCAAACGAACGTGTTATCATTCTGTCTGATTCGGCTAGCTGTGTTTCGATCATAGAGAGTGGAAGATCGTAGCATCCGTGGATCCAAGAAATCGAGCGCTTATTACGTGGACGGCCGATCCACCTTTGTTGGATTCCTGGTCATTCCGGAATCCGCAGTAACTAAGAAACAGACCGACTGGCCAGTGAAGCACGGAACAGTTCACCAATCAACGTTGCCGTACGAAGGAATGATGCCATCAAGAACATGAACCAAGTCTTTTGGCAGCAATGGGAAGCACGTTGGCCACACTTGACAGATGTCAAGCTGAAGGAGGTCAAAAGGGAAACGAAGAAGTGGATCGATCAATACAGTTCTGCAGATCAACGCGTACTCAATCGTCTGTGCATCGGTCATACTAGGGTTACGCATGAGTTTCTGCTGAAGAAAACATCTCCGCCAGCATTTGAATGCTGTGGGACATTATTCTGCACTGCAGGAAATTTGAAGTGGCCAGGACGAAATACGGAACCGATTCCACAAGTCTTTATACGGCGTTACGCAACGATGAGGATCCTGAATAGGGGTTGCTGAAGTTCCTGCATGAAATCAACGTTTATCGGAAACTTTGAAGGGCGAGGATAGACAGGAAAGGAAAGTGCAAGATGTAGGAAGAAAACGGAGCGATGGATGAAGTTAATGAATACACAGATAAAGAAAAAGCAAACGATGCAGAAGAAGTAATGAATGGGAGAAGATGCCGGAGAGGAAATCGGAGAAGAAGTTGGAACCAAGTGAGTTAATGAAGAAGATGCTGAATGGAAATACAGAAGATGACCTAGAGGAAATCGAAGAAGATGGAGTGAAACAGGATGACGATGAAGCAGAAGAGGGAAGTGCGACAGCAGGCGTGAATGAGTATGAAGTTGCAGAAGGATTCAAGAATCGAGGAATCAACGGATGCAGCAAAAGGTCAAGAGAAGCAGAAATCCGAGAAGACGATTAACGCTGCTGTTATGAGCAGAAGAAGACAGAAAATAATGAACGTACTAGAAGCAGGAAACGAGAAGATATTGAAGGAGAAACAGAATAAGCCGAAGATGGAAAAAATGAAGATACACTGAAGTCTTTTTTTACACGGTTTTTTTAAGCAGTTTTTTACCACGATACAACCTATCGACTTGATTCCAATCACATTATCCGTTTCAAGCTATAGGTAATCAAATGGCATACTTAAAAAAATCACAATTTTTGGGGTAAATACAGAAATTTTAAAAACATGTCTATATGGACCATAGCATGCTATAATTACAAATGGCATCAAAATCTGATTTTTTAAAACATTTAAGCATGTGAAAAATCAAAATCTCGTAGGTTTTTTTACACGGTTTTTTACACGGTACATATCCCCGTGTAAAAAAAAGACCTGAGTGTATACGGAAAAGAAGATGAGAAAGTGAAGACAGGGTGGCAAAACTACCATAAGTGTGAAAGACCAGAAGTAGAAAGAAGAACAAAATGCAGCAGAAATACAGTGAAGAACGAAATGACGATATCTTGCCCAGAGAAGCAGAGAGCAAGGAGATGAAAGCTAAGTGAAAATCTACCACACTAACACTAACATAAACATCATACAAAATACATTTGTAACACAAGCACTGATAGTAACACGAATGCATCTTTCGGATGTAAAGTGTCGTAAATAAATAACAACAACAACAACAACAACAATTACTTTATGCACTTGGTGTCTCCAAAGAACTTATTGCTGGACGCGACAACGGTATGTGTTTGTTTTCACCTGAAAAAATGTTCATGGTTTGGGTTTATAAACTATAAGGTTGTTATGAATCCAGATTATTTCTTTATTGTATTAGTTTTTTTTTCAATTGGAGTTTTCATTACTCTTTCAATAAAATTTGAAATTATTTGGATTACTCTCGGTGTTTTGAGGATTTCTTTCGGTTTTAACTTGTTAGAAAATGACCTACACACAAAGATACCTATTGCTTAAAAACATGCCTATTTATTTCTTGTAAATGATTGGTACATACATATTTGATGTGATCTGGAAGGAAACATGCAAATGCAAACAACATGGAATGCAAACTTACGATGATTGACAAAGCATATAAGTAATTTGAAATTTCAAGGTGAGTAAGTAGCGAGAAATTGGTTATCATAACTTGGTATGAGTATCTTAATTGCATGCATAGTTACTAAGCTGGAAAATTATTCCCATCCGTCGTTGTCGTCTATTTGCTTGAGCTTCGTAAGGCTTCATCACGTCATCGGAAAATCAGAAGATTAAATAAGCTCCCCAGCATCCGAAACTAATGACGATGCATCCTAACTGAACTGAACGCACCACCGTATTCATACTCATCCCATCGTCGTATGCCTACGCGGAAAAAGCGACGACAGCTAATTAACTATAGTTGATGAAACCATATCAATGAGCGGGTTCGAAGCAAACTCATCAGTATAAAAACGCATTTGGTCAACTTTTCTGCTATCAATCAGTATCAACTGCCTGTCCAATAAAGTACGAGTGTACCACAGCTTACTGAGAACCAAATTTCAATTTGTTACTAAACAATTACCACCAACCGAACCGGAAATGGATCTAGTGAAGCTATTCAGCGTGCTGCTAATCTGCGCCGCTTTGATCTTCGTCTGTGAAGCACAGGTGAGAGCGCTACCTATTCTGTATAGCCGGGCCGGGCCATTGAGAAGCGAGTGCGAGCCAACTCGGGTCACTAATTAGACATTGAGTTCAATTAAAATCTAATCCCGATGGGACTGTTCCCTGCCGTTCACTAGATGCCCCCGGTAGAGTGCGCTGCCTGTGAAGTGATGAAGTTGCACGTACAGATGAAATTACAGCACCTATCCTGTTTTCCATTAACCTTGTAATGAAGCTTCTTATTAAATTGAGTGCATGTCATAATCAAAGACAATGCAGCGTTACCGGAACAAAGGATTAGCTATCTTACACTAATGACTGTAATATTGCGAGGAAGGCATCTACAATCAATATGTTTTCATCCTCTCGAAACAGCTCACATTTACTCCATCGTGGGGAAAACGGTCCTCGGCTCCGCTGGCCATGAATATGCAGGGTTCTTTCGGCGTCCAGGACAGCTGCAAAACACCGGTAGACTCACTAATGGTCATCTACCGAATGATTCAGGTAAATATAGTTTAATCATCCAAACGAGAAAAAAAAAATCCAATTTCACTCTTACAACCGCCAGACCGAGGCCCAAAAAATTCTGGAATGCAACCAAAAGTGAATGCGGAAACAAAGGATGGACTGCTGTCATCAACAGCGGCAGCAGCGGCGCCAGCACGAAAACACAAAACGCGCTCCGACCGGAAGCGAATGTTTTTATTTTTATTTCATTTATTAAGTTTCAAATCTGTAGATATGTATAACATCCGTTATGTTCCCAGTGAGATGCATGGCACTCCAACTAAGCGTTCAAATATAGACTTACCATAGGCAACAGAAAATGGCATAAGTGAACTTTGGTGCTGTCATCATCATTCCATCCGAAAAAGGTTCTCCCATCTGTGAAATACAAACAGATACCCGTATCACATTCTGATCGCCATATTAATACGGATTACTGTTGTTTACTAAACCATCATTCAGTGAAACGTGAATCAGTCGTTCGAATGCAGGAGCCTCGTGGCTTACAATCATCGGTGTTGATGATCGCCAACAAGATGCTACACTGCAAGCTCGGGTGGTGACTCGAACGTTTCGGATATCATCACAGTTGCTAACAAATGGCCTCGGTTTGAAAACTAAACGAATCATTCGGGGATCTTATGGAGGAATCTCGGGCAGTTCCTATGCCCCATTCAAAAGGTATTGTGTCGTCATTGGCCTTCGATGAAGAATTCAGACAATTTAGGCTAGTGAAAAAACGCTTACCGATGTTCATGAGATATGCTGATACGCAATCGTTGCTCAGTGGGGGCTCTTGGTTTAGTTGAGATTCCTGCTCAAAACGGTTGGTGGTACCTGAAATACTGCAAATAAGAACCAAAGAGAAATATTAAGTTTGAGGATTTTTTACAGCTACGATCTCAATAAGCACGGTACGGAATCGTACGGAACTTTACAAAACTTATGGGATTTGGCTATGACAATATCAGAAGTTTGAAAGGTTTATATGCGGAAAATGGTTTTGCGGGCCTGAGCTTTCATTTGAATACAATATTTGCTGTTTTTTTGTTATTGCCGGAAATAAATGTATGATTACGGAAATTTTTGAATTGAGTTTAAAAAAAATCATTCATAGGGTCTTACAGAGCCACACGTTCACAATAAAGTGTTTTAATAAAGTGATCCAGATTGTGGAAGTTAATATAGAATTCAAGCCAAAATGTCGTTTTGTTTCACTGTTGTAGGGCTTTCATACCGCATACCCCTAGATAGCAAACAGTAGTGTAAATGAAGGCTAGAAGATTCAGGCCGCATCGTGCTCTCTTGCCGTGTGGATTTATTTGCTTTTTATTGAAGGACAACCATTACCAACAATCAATACGAAACTAACGATTTTAAATTGGCTCACTACTTGACTAGCCTATTGGTCCCAAGCAAACGATTAACGTTCCCCATTCTAGTCGAAATTCTAGTACTACACAATGTTTGTTTTGATTCGCTATGAAAGTTTGACAGATAAAACGAGAGATGGATTTTGCTGTTTCGATGGGTGAATCGATTAGCTTGGGACCGAAGAGAGTACCAGAGCTGAGCCAAAAAGTTGAGCACGTTTCTTCGGGATCTTCTAGTCTTAGAGTTACCTCTATGGTGTTACTGCTACAGTGCTACCTAAAGCTACAACAAATTTAAACAGCACTTTTCAGTGTCAACCTGTAAAATTTCTACCTTGTTTGACTCTTATTCCCCTTCGATCCTTGTTTGGACCCTAACCGTGGTAATCCTGTTTGGACATCGGCTTGGAAAATTACTCTTCGATCCTTACAGTAATCTGCTTGGAAGTCGGTTTAGATAAACGTTTTATTACCTAAGCGCAAAAGAAAAGTGCAATCGCTTGATCCCCCTTCTGATGAAATTCTTTTGAGCAATAAATTTGATATGCGTACGGATGATGAGAATGATCCATCACCCTGGAAAAATTCCATTAGGTAAACATTCCCGGCTTAATGCCAAAAAGGAAAAGGTCCTATTGTTGTAACTACTTCCGATTTCCATGCTCTTCGCACGAAACTTTTGAACTTTGTTCAAGTTAAGTTTTTACTTAAAATTGGCCGTCGGGGTGAATCTGTATGTCAGCCATGTATTGGCTGAAATCATCGACGGATTCAAATGTCTTCTCAAGTAACTTACTGAGAAGCAGCACCAATTTTTTACTTACGACACTAAAACTGAACGTGTGTTCAAGGCTGCCTTGAATGGTCTGCCCTGTGGTGAATCCCTGGATCAGATCAATTCAGTTCAGATCAGATTAATTGACTAAATTACTTGGAGTTGAGCCTGTCCAAGTAATCAAAATGAAAATGAAATCCCGTCCTGGCGATTCGCGGCGAACGGGATTTCTACTTCTTCTTCTTCTTCTTCGCATTTCAAGCTTATTGCATATCGCATATTAGCTTATTGCGTGCTTTCAACTTAGTGTTCTAGATGCACTTCTACAGTTATTAATTGAGAGCTTTCGATGCCTGTATGTACCATTTTTGCATTGATATGATTGTATGGCAAGTCCAATCATACTTCTATGCCCAGGGAAGTCGAGAAATTTTCCAACCCGAAAAATTCCTAGACCGAACCGGGAATCGAACCCAGCCACCTCCAGCATGGTCTTGCTTTGTAGCTGCGCCTTTATCGACTGAGCTAAGGGAGGCCCCAATAATATTTCTAATAATTATTATTTAGTTCACTTCAAGTCTAGTCTAGTCAAGTTGTCCGAGTGAAGTGGGAACACTTCAGGAAGACTGGAGGAAATATCCAAAACCTCTCCCAGTACCGGAAGTGCCGGGATGGGGTCACGGAACCAAAAATTTGCTACATACCAGCTAAATGCATAAATTGTGGTGATTCATCTCACGCAAAGGACGACTGTCCTGTGAAAGAAGATCCTCGTCGTCTTCCAGTAACGTTTGGATATGAGTATTGTCATATGATGATTCCTTCATTTTTTCCTCCCACTTCTAAATGTTTATGAATGCTCGAGTCTTGTTTTGTGTGTTTCTTTTATATTGTTTAATAAAACGGAAGGTTTTCGTCATTTGAGCCAGCGAACTTTCACCTTCTATTCCTTCTAATAATGTGTCAACTTTCTCCTCAAAGTGTCTGTCATACGCTTCTTGTTTATCAGTTCTAGTTATCTTTACTCTTCTCTTAAGTTCTGGATTTTTTCGTCCTTTAATAGTTATCGACGCTCTGCTAATAGCTTTTGGGAAGCTTGTTTCCTTCTCGGTGCTGGTGGAGATCCAGGTTGATTCAACACGACATTTGCTGCTTACATGACAGATGATTCTATGACTTTCCACTCTTCATCAATGGTTTGCTTTGCTCTGTTGAGATTTCGATCAATTCGTACCTGGAATCTCTCTTGTTCATCTTGATCGGATTTCAGTAGCTCTAAATCGTATTTAACTTTTTTAGCCACGTGAGCTAAGTCTGCGTTATTGTCAGGTGTTCCTGAATCTGCACATCTTTTGCTTAATGTGCATTTGACCATTTTGTGATCGCTTCTTATCGCACCATGGTGGTCGTATGCTCGTATAGTTGGTATCTTGAGAAAATCCACCTTAGACATCAGGATGTGATCTAACTGAGATTGACACTTCCCATTAGCCCAAGTCCAGTGTATGGATTTAGACTTACTAAACGTCAGATGATTTTTCAGGCGTAATCCAAGCATAAAGTTTTTCAACTCTAGCCAATTAGAGTTAGACACATCATGGAGCACCCAGACAACCAGAAGTCGTATAACAATGTACATATAGTATCGTAAATTGCTACAGTTTAAGTCAAAATCGCATATTAGAATGGTATACCTCGCATTATGTTTAAGTTAAATCGTATAGAATGCAAATTTCCGACTTATATGCGATGACTCATTTTTCCGTCGTACTGTATCACAAATTTAATCGGATTACATCGTAAGACTTTTCAAGATGGATTTGTTATTACAGATTAAATCGCATATGATGTTAAATCAACTCGTTTAAAATTAAATGAAAATATGCACGTATATGGCCTCCACTTTTGTACGTATAAGCCATTTCTTTGCATTCTATACGACTTGTTTGTTTGTATATATGTTTGTATATCACGAAAACAACTTTGAATATACGTGCATTCTGGTTGTCTGGGCATGCTCCTGCCTATGAGTGTGCGGTCATCCTTTGTGATTTCCGACATCCCGATTCTGGCGTTGAAATCACCCATGATGATTACGTTGTCTTTCATGCTTTCCTTGAGGCTCAGGATGTACCTTGATAGTTTCCCAAATTTTGAGCAACCCCCATCACTTTCCGTTCTGACGTATGACAAAATTAATAATACTTTCTTATCAAATACATCGCATAGATATGTACACGAGTCCGCACTGATCTTTCTGAAACAATTGTTCTTATACAAGGTTTTGGCTATCAAGATCGCAGTTCCTCCTCCAATGCGTTATGTTCTGTATTTACGTTGAACCAGAAGTAGTTGCAACCACATTCCGCAAAATATTTGTCAATATCCTTCCGCTTTTCTTCCTCCGAGCAGCCGCGAACGCCACCTCATTGAAGCATCGGATTTACACTCAATTGCGAGCAATTAGGCAAGTAGTTCCTTTGAATCTCCGTAACTCTCTCCAGCGGCGGTAGAAGACTCGATGCCGCATCATCCCCTGTGTTGCTTCTAGAATTCCGAACTTCTCTGTTGAACAATATCTTATGGACCACACTGTCGTAGTAGTTACGGTATGTATTCCTGGAGCATCTTGCTGCCAAGCGATATGCTATTCTTTAAACACCATAGGATGCTAGCTGCCTACTAAAAGTGATTAATGGTCCATGTCCGTAATAAACGTTGATCCTCCTGTTGAAGATGACCTCAGCAGCCGCTATGGTTTCTTGTCCTCCCCATTCATTAATTGTCGCTAATCTTTGAAGAAATACTTCAATTTATCCTCTATCGATGCACGACCAAGATGCCTACAGTATCAGCGAGGGACACACGGAAATTATCGAAATTATTTCTTAATTGTTCCTCCACTCTTTGTCGAAGGCTCATTACTTTTTCGTAATGGTCTGTTGATCCTACTTCCAAATTGTGGTATTGATATACCAACACCGAAAACAGGCAATGGCCATCTCCAGGCATTCTCCTCACCATTACTGATCCCTCGTCGTAGAATATATGTTCGATCGTAGCCACTATTAAACTCTTAATTCAGATGCTTCACTTGATTGCTTGATCGCTCGTAATAGAATTAATTTAATTTTGTAGTTGAGTTGTTTTATAATTATCAAGAAAATAATAATAAAGAGAGAACGTAAATTAATGTAAGTATTTATACATTGAAGTCATTTGGAATAAATTATTCTTTATGGTTGTTTCCATTAAAATGCTGATTTGTCCCTCGAGTTGGTTTTAAGTTAATCCAGCGTGCGTCTAGAGAAGAGAAAAAAAGAGAGAGAGAAAAGAAAAGAAAATTGCAATTCGACCAGCCCAAAATTCAAGGGTAATATCTGTGTGATGTCACATTCTAAAAGTTTTGAGCTAAATTAAGAAAATTATGTTTAAATTTGTTGCCACTATTATACTGAATTATTCAAAGAACAGTTCATAGTTTAATGTAGCTAGTAACTAAAAACAAACTTTTGGACCACTACATCACTACTGCAGTAGTGTGCATCTTTCAAAATGTAAAGATACAGACAAGCCCTGAAACCTGGTTGCAGTTAAGCAATCCTCAAGGTTATGCCAATGCCCAGGGAAATAATTGCCAAATTATTATTGAATCAATAAAAATATTTTTATTTCTACTGCGTGTATTGTCAGGGATCATAAAATAAATATGATTGGATAAACAAGACATCTCTTTTTGTTTGTGCAAACGTCCACTACCTGTGTTCATACCCTACCAGCTGTGTGTTGTATTGTATCCCTATACACTATCAATAAATAGAGTAGTATCTCGAATACCTCCGCCATGGCAGGACGGTCAAGCAAACTGTGTCTTTTATTCATACATCCGTAAACACAACGTAGGAAAAGTTCTGTCCGTGCGCGATCACTTTTAAAAACAAATATATTTCTGTTGTTGACCCAGCTGTCAAATTTAACAGCTTACGACAAAACCAAGCAAGCTCTTGATAATTCGAGAACATTTTCTTTTTGATTTAACAATCCATGGGTTTTTAGGAACAAAAATACTGGAATGTTGAAACAATAATGATTTCTATTTGCAGTCAAAACAAAATGAAATGCATATTGATTTTACGTCAAATATTATTAAGTTTAAAATATTTTTCTCTGCGTGTACACATTGAATGCTGAACAACATGTGATACCAGCGGTTGTGGAATAAATGCAGCACTAGAGGTTTTATAACAAGTTACAATGGTCTCAGTAGAACCTAGCATAACTGGAACTGCAACATATCTGGAACTGGAACATAACTGAGTATATTAAGTGAAACAGCAGAATTTAATTTAAAGCTTGATTTCAGGATCTACTTCAGGACATATCGCGCACTGATAGTTACAGTTGAAGAGTTCATGCTTAACTTCCACGATGTCCAATTGGCAGAAAACCGATTTCAGTACCAAGGATTCTTCATTCACTTGGTTTCATTAACTTTGTTTATTTGGCCAGCAACAATTTCAATTCCAGTTCCAATTATGTTAGGTACGAATGAGGCCATTATCACTTGTTGCAACTCTTAACTCTTTATTTGTTCCAAATTCAAAATAAATTACATTTCATTTTAACCTAGGTGCTCCAGTTAATACAGTAACTTACCAGCCTTAATTGTTATGATATATATCTAAGTGTTTTTACATTGTTCCTGCCTTGGCAATTCAGTAATGGAAAAGTTAGCTTCGGCAATACCTTAATCTATCTATCTAGAGCATAATTAATTACATCTTTGGTTTGCAAAGGAACGTTTGGATCGAAGTTATATTCCATAAATGTTCGATATTACTCCCAATCAGCTCTATGGTAATTGAAAGTAGAGCTGTACTGCCCTTTTCAGCATAGTTGTCCCATTCGTTAAAACAGCAAGCTGAGAAAAACGCTGTTGAAGATTTTTTTCTCCATGGGCTCTTATGGATGGGACAACATAGTTTTGTTATTTTTCGCGACATTTTCTGAACAACGTAGGATTTTTTTCGTGTACATTGTAAAGTGATGGTACTTGACAATCGATTCCAATGTATAACTCATAATCGCCAAAAATGCTAATGGGACTGTTATGCCGCACAGGGCAGTGTAGGGATTAAAAATTATTTCTTGGGATATTTCAAAAGTTACTGGAATGTGATCAGAACCGAAGTCAGCATGGGTAACCAATTGGCTACAAAGTTGACATGAATCAGTTAAGACCAACTCAATAGTTGAGGGATTTCTTGCTGAAGAAAAGCATGTTGGGCTGTTTGGATATTGAATAGTGTAATAACCTGCAAAACAATCATCAAACAGAATAATATAATTGGAATTACTTTGAGCATTATTCCATGAGCGGTGTTTTGCATTAAAATCCCCATGCACCCTTGAGAAAATTCTTTTGCTGGCCTACGCATTGGAATTGTTACAAAACCTCTACAAACCTGCATTTCACAACCAAGTCACTGGTATCACTGATATGAGTATTTGGGTAAACCAACGGTTTTCTATTGATTACATCAATTAATTACGAGAATAATTGAATAAAGACGAAACAAACACGAAAACTGCTCGAGTATCCGGCAAGAACACTCGCCTTTTATAGTGAGTATGATCCTTGATCAGAACTGCCATAGTCCACGGTGCATCGAGAACGCGTACATACTCAGCCAGACGGCTACCATGAGGGCCACACCATCGTGGCTGGAAGTGGAGCGGAATCCTCGGAGTCAATGGCGTCAAACACTTTACATCTTCAGTTCGATATGGTTTTCACGAATGGTGATTATATCGGCTTAAAAACGTTTCCCGCAGGTATTGAGCACGGCACCATTATGATCGCGCACGGGCAGAACTTCCCTACGTTGTGTGATTAATAGATGGAGAAAATAAACCACGGTTGTTTATCGGGCCATCCTGCCATAGCAGAGGCATGCAAACTATTGACTTTATTTACGATCTTACAATTGAACAGTAGGCATGATAACACTACGCTAGCGGCACTTGTGTGTTGATATGAGTATTTGGGTAGGGTAGTTGCACACGTTTTGTACAATCAAAAACAATATTGAATTCGTGATGACTTTATAGGAAATACATTCGATAAGTGAAGTAATGAAATTGGATTGTTAGCGGAATGCTTAAATAAAACAGCAAAAAAAGGTTATCTTCCATTTAATTCCACTTAAATTATTTTGGTATCAGACAGATGATGAAAGATGACAGATACGTATTTCGACTACAATGTGCAGTCTTCATCAGTGTCATTTCCACTAAGGAACTTATCAAAATCTAACCACCTAAAGTACTCATCCCTAGGTAAAAAAGTCAAGATCACAGGTATAAAAATGAAACGACAATGTGTTGAATCGGAACCTAACTAAATAATAAAAACCAAAGATTTAAGTAAACTAAAGGAGAAAAATCTATACAACTCTCTAATAAGGAAAATCCCAAAGGCTTGGTAGCCATCATAATGAAGTAATGAAATTGGGTTGTTAGCGGAATGCTTAAATAAAACAGCAAAAAAGGTTTTGTTGTTATGTTTTATTTAAGCATTCCGCTTGCCATTTTATGCTTCCTTCGCCCTTCGTAAAAAAAACTTGATTCCTAGATAGAGCTGGAATTAGGGCGTAACAGCTTTTCTAAATAATGACTTCTTTCGATGATTTCTAGGAACTCAAGGCACGCCCACGCACACTAACATGATCACCGGGTAGGGGAAGTATTCTTGTACCCGATGACAATGTTGATTTGCGTTGGCGAGCCTTGACTTTCTAGAAATCTTCGAAAGAGGTCATTGTTTACACAAGCTATTACGCCCTAATTCTAGCTCCATCTAGATTTGCATGTCGAGATAATAATTCAGGATCATCAGAAGCATACATCGTACAAAAAAAACAACCATTCGAACCGGTTCGGAAGCCTTTGCTTTGCTTCATTTTGCACATATTCTGTCCATTCCATACCCACTTGCTTCCATTCCATGTTCGTTATTCTACACTAACAAATCCATGATAGGTACATACACAGAACAACTGGATTATTCAATTTCAAAAACCGGATCCCGGTGCTTTTTTCCTGGATGCTGCATCACCATTCATCAAAAGCTTTATTTATAAACGATTCCATTTGAATCGCACTCTCCTGGACTCCACGAGCTCTAACTCACGCACGATTATCTACAGTCGAACACTAAACAACCAGCTGTTCAGTTCTCGCGGGGTTCTCCTGCTTGTGTGTAGAATATTTGATAATCCTCTCGAGTTCAAGCGAACGACACTCAAATCACTAATTAATAACAGTGCGAACGCAGCACAGAAGCACGTTGCGCTCTATTCCAGTGTCGATTCTAGACCAGTGAAGATGAGTATTCTCGTACGCTTCGCAGCAATTTGCTCGATGGTATTGCTATTAACGATCGGTGCTAGTGGGCAGAGTAGTGATTTAGGTGAACTTGAATTAAAAACAAGTGAAGCATCCAAGAGATAATAAATTTCATTCCCAGCAGCGACAGGAGATGAATGCATCGTGCAGAGAACAAATGCCCCTGGAATTTGCCGGCTTGTGTCGGAGTGTCCGTCGGTAATTGACGATATCCGAAACCGGCGTGCTAATCCTACTAAGTGTGGATTCGTGAACAGAGTTCAAGTGGTCTGCTGCCCGGATGGAGTCCAACCGAAAACAACAACCTCAACGAGCGCACCTTTGACCTCACCGATGAGTAATCATCCTCGAATCGCGGAAAGTACGCTAATTTCACAGATAGCGCGTATAGAAGTACTAAACTGCTCACCGGGTGCAAGTTGACTCACTTACCTGTGAAGTAAATTAACCTGTGAGAACATTTCCATCCATACAGCGGTGTACTTTTTGCGCTTCCTCTCACCAACTGCCATCAACTGGTGTGCGTCACTGCTTGATCTTTATTCCCACCTTTGTACCCTTTCCTACAGAGTGCATCGAGTATGGGGAAGCCGTCTTCTCGAAAGAATACGTCAACTCGGTTGGTGCCGACGAGCCGAAGCTGCAGCGATTGGATAAGTGCGGTCACAAAGCGATTGAGTTGGTGGTGAATGGCGAGGCAGCTAAATCGCGGGAATTCCCCCACATGGCTCTGATTGGATACGGTGCAGCGCCTGAGGTGAACTACCTGTGCGGTGGATCACTGGTTTCGGAGAGATTCGTTCTGACCGCTGGCCATTGCACCAATTCTATCGAACAGTGAGTATCAATCGTTGGTATCATGATGAATGGGGGGTAGGAAGGGATAACGTTTGATTTGCATGTGTTTCGATAGTCGGTTTTTAACCGCGTTGACATGAAGTTAGGGTGAATTGTGCATCATCATTATCTGTTGGAAAGTCAACTTGCCGTCGATTACTTAGGTTGACGGACCAGGGAAGCATTTTGAAGACATTTCATATTCTGTGAAGATGTTTGAAGAGGGTGCAAGACGTTAGGCATAAATACGATAGACATAATGTACGATAGGCATAATCGCTGGTTGGCATAAAGGATGTTAGGCATAACGGTTAGGTTAGGTTTTCTTTATTAGGGAGGCTTGCAGCCTGAGGCTGGTTCACCTCCGGATAGTTACCCGAGCAGGACCGAATATCTCGATACCTTAAATTGGTATGGATGAGCCTGACATAAGAGGTAAAATACCAAAAAAAATAATACCAAAAAAATGTTTCCACGATACCATTCCAATACCAAGGTATTATTTTGGTATCCAAATATCAATTTTTGTTATTTACAAAGTATTTCGCGTGGATTGTTTTGGTATTATTCTTTGGCATTTTATCTCTTATGTCATGCTGATCAACACCAAATTTTGGTATCGGATCAGAATTAGGTATTCATTAGTTATTTTCTCTTGCTCGGGTAGGCATAACAGACGATAGGCATAATTCACATTTAAATGAGAAATCACAATTTTCCATTATTTTTATCATCAGCTGTTCTTTGAGAACAATCCTAATCTTCTTTGCATATTCATGATATGTGTTATTTTCAGATGAAAGCGAAAGGTTAGCTGATTTTTGATATGCGATATTTTTTTTAAGATGGGTCATTTGGCTGAATCTCAAAATTCGTCTTTCTTTTTCTCATAAGGTGTTCTTTGAGAACAATCTTAATCTTTTTTGAAAGTTCATTATTTTTTTTTATTTTCAAATGAGAGCCAAAGGCTTTGCTGGATTTTTTTAAAATTATGGGTCATTTGGCCGAATCACAAAATGTAGCATTATTTTATCATGAGTCGTTTTTTGAGAATAATCTTCTTCCTACTATTATTTGAGGTTTTCTGTACGAACGAATTAAAGCCTGTAGTTTTCGAGGCCTCCCTTAGCTCAGTCGGTGAAGGCGCAGCTACAAAGCAAGACCATGCTGGAGGTGGCTGGGTTCGATTCCCGGTCCGGTCTAGGAATTTTTCGGGTTGGAAAATTTCTCGACTTCCCTGGGCATAGAGTATGATTGTACCTGCCACACAATTATACTAATGCAAAAATGGTACAGGCATCGAAAGCTCTCAATTAATAACTGTGGAAGTGCATGTGCATCTAGAACACTAAGTTGAGAGCACGCAATAAGCTAATAATGCCATACGCAATAAGTTTGAAATGCGAAGAAGAAGAAGTTTTCTGATTTTGAGATGCGATGTGACATCCAAGTGGTTTTGTGTTGAGTATTGAGCCATTAAACCGAATGGCATTATGCTTAACGCCATTAGGTCAAATATGGTTAGAATGTACGGGTTACAGGGATAAATAAATCATTACTTCACGATGCCAATAATCTTTCAATATTACTACCAAATGCTATGAAAACAGGGATAGTCAAATTGGGAAACCCGGCATGTCGAATATTTTTGAAAGTTGTGTGTCTTCTGGAAATCTTGAAACCTTTTCGTGACCTAAATTCTTGAAAAGATGTGGTTCTTAGTTGTTATTTTTTTCTTTATCAAGTGTATGAAAAATTTATTTATCGTTTATTTATTTTTTCATGATTCAAACTTAAGGAGTTTTCTTTTGTTCGTACAAAAAAGTGTTCTTACCTATGTATGCTGAGGAAATCTTTAATAAAGAATCAAATAATCAACTTTTCGTACGGAGGAAGAAGCCGCACCGCTACTGATCGGAATCAGTAGCTCTTCGTGAGTCGCTGTGCCCGTAAAAAAAGAACCATAGAGGCACAACGAAATGTATTGTAACCATACAATATAATTTATTGTATTTACAATAAATCATATTGTCTACAACGATAAAATAACCAAAGCATGTATTGTTTTCACAATAGAAGCTATGGTAAATAGGGAAATCTACAATACAACAAGGGGGTTGTTATGTATCTTAACCATAGGGAAAATTACTTTTTCCCGAACAAAAATGAGTCCATTAATTGTGCGTTATAAAGAAAACTAAACTAAACCATTAATTGTATTGTTGTTCAATTGTTGAAAATTCTTACTGTATGGGAAGTACTGTAAATCTATTGTAACAACAATATGTTAAAATTACTTGTACAATATGCGTACAATAAGATCGATTCTTTTGTAAAAGATTTTTATGCAATTGTATTTTATTTTATGGTTATTTTTTCCGGGTGGGCCATCACGTAAAAAAAAAGAACCGTAGAGGTACAATGAAATGTATTGTAGCCATCGTAAATCGTATTCTCCACAAAGATAAAGTAACAATAGAATGTATTGTTTCCACAATAGAATCTATGGTAAATGGTGCAATATACAATAGAATAAGGGGGTCGTTACCCTGATAAAAATAACCATAAAATTACAATAAAATATCAATAAAATAAAACAGCAAATAATATCTTCCATTTAATTCCACTTAATTAAATTCTGGTATCCATGACAGATACGTATTTCGACTACAATGTGCAGTCTTCATCAGTGTCATTCCCACTAAAGAACTTATCAAAATCTAACCCCCTTAAGTACTCATCCCCTAGGTAAAAAAGTCAAGATCATAGGTATAAAAATGAAACTACAATGTGTTGAATCGGAACCTACCTAACTAATAAAAACCAAAGATTTAAGTAAGCTAAAGGAGAAAAATCTATACAACTCTCTAACACTATTTTCACTGGATTTTCTTACGAAAACACTTCGCTGAATGCATGCAAACGATTATTTATACTTTCAGCTTCAATTTGACTATAGTTTTACCACTGAGAAAAAGCAATCTAGCAAGGTTTTCTTGAAATGAAACACACGCACTACAAATTGTAGCTGATTTCGAGTTGCCGATAATAGAACAGCAGATTTACATGCAGTTCAAATGGAATGGTTGCTGAAGAAAAACTGGTTGCCGACAATACTCGCTCTCACTAGAGAAGATTGGAGCTTTGTAAAAGCGTTTCAAAACAGTTTTTGACAATTCTTTCGACTGAAATTGTTAGAGCAGCTGGCAGTAAAAGATTGTAAACAAACCAATACTGCATATGTGTGCGTTCCTTAGAAAAAAGGCTATAGAAAGAAGGTCGCTGCTTAGGTTGCCGATAATACGTAAATTCCCCTATTAAACTGCCATTCGGTCCACCCGTATATAGAAAACACAGAAGTAGTCGTACGTCAGGAACCAAAAACAAGAGAAAACGAAAACGGTCTTCACCAGTTTCGTCTCAGACACAGGTATAGTCGGATTTCGCTTGTTGGGCTAACTTTAAGTGGGCTAAGTTTCAGTTGGACTCCCAAGGCAAACGTAACTTCTAACAGTGCTGATTCCTTTTGAAGTGAAGCTAATTTCTGACTTATCAAGAGATCCACCCGAGACCTAGTTCAACAGCAATATTTGCTTCAAGGGATAGAACAGCATCGAAAAGAGTACCCTGAGAAATCGTAGAATATACTAGGGGAAATACAACTTGATCTGGAGAAATATTTGGTGTAAAAATTGCTCAAATTGGTAGTTATTATAACTTTTAGTATAAATATTAATGATATTAACTGTCAAGCGGAAAGCTTCAAAGTAAAAAAAATTACAGTGTAACTTTAACGCATACACTCAATGACGTCTCACCGTTGTTGTTTATGTTTACTGCAGCTTTCTGTTTGTCATCCAGAAGAGACGTGAGTGTCGTTAGTATCCAATCTACGAAGTATATCATAACAACGCTAACGCTAACGCTAACTGCAGCTTTCTGTTTGTCATCATTTTTGCCTAGATTTTCGTTTTCGATACCTCTGATCAATTTCGACTTTGCCTTTTCATGGTAAAAACGGTATAGGACGTTCCCCCAGCAGCATACCTCTTCAAGTAGCAGGCTCATGGCGAATCGAGCGTAATACGACCAGTCGATTCCCGTTCAATCGGAGGACAGCACATTGATTCGCAGACGATGAAGAGTTTGTGGACATTAATGACTATTTCCTGGGAACGGAAGTGCGGCCGATTATGTGCACTGAGATCAGCTACCAAATAATACCGAATTTATGACAACAAGGAGCGGATTTTCGTGGCGCTGGCCAGCAAGATCTTCAAGGAATGACTTACCTCTTGTGTGACATCCATTTTTGATTAAACGAATGTCAAATGTACACTTAAAACCAAAAATAGTCAAAACAAAAAAAACAACTGTCAGACTAAGTATAAGATTCGCAAATACCACACATATTAAAATATTTAATATTTATACCATCGGTATTGATGCTGATACTTGGAGCTGTCCTTCCCCTAGAGAATATATTAAAATGAAATATAATCATTACAATCCAATGACGTTTGTGTGAATATATCTGACGTTGTATATTGCACCAAAAGAGTAGGGAAGATAATGAGAGTACTCGTTTTACAACTGCTCTTATGAGATTCAGCAATTGTTTTTGAATAACCCATCCCAACAACTCGAGAGATGGGAAACTCCGAAGTTATTTCAGTCTTTATCTTTACTTTCATTGATATAGGTGAGGGCCAGAAAGCAAACAGTAAGCCCCCCCCCCCCCTTCATATCTAACTACGCCTATTCAATGGAGCACATGTTTTGAATACATCTGTACATACCAACTTGATAATATTAGAAACACCGAAGTTATTGCAGTTTAAAGCTTTACTTCCATTTATATGAGTGATGGGGCGGGGGTATAGTTAGCCCCCTCCCCCTCATCTCTCACTATACCTATGAGATTGAAAAATTGTTTTTGAATAATTCATCTGCACATACCAAATTTCATTTTCATTTTCATTTTGCAGCGTTTGGTGGGG